GATAAAAAATATGATGTAGTACGTACTAAAGTCATTATATCATGTTAAAATGATAGATATACACAAAAAGCCGTGGGTAAGCAAATTCTTCGATCCAACGTACATATCCAATAAGCCTGTCATGTGAGAATATATCACATTCATATTTATTAATTCAGTATCAGGAGTGGGAACTATACGGCCAAGTAGCAATGATTTTTATAATTTGGTCTTCAGTCTTATTTTTCTGGTTACAGGAAGAACAAGAATTCAACAGAAATTCAATTGTTCATACTGGATACAAGAATTGTTTTTACTGGATACAAGAGATATTAACGTTGGAATCGACTAAGTTGGATTTTCCATCGTACAAGAAGAATTTTGTTCTGTGATGTACGTTGGTATTAACACTCAAATATATTATATATTTTGTATACACAGCGGCTCGTGAAAGTGTTTGAGTATTCTAAAAAATATTTTCAAATCTCATTAGCCCTGTAACGAGATACAACTAACGTAATTGTATCGGTGAAATTGAAACGTATCTGAAGATGTATATAGAAATTAAGAGATATTCATTGAAAGAATACACTTCATAAAAATCACCAAACAGTCAATTTGAACAGACAATTAGTATTAGCAGAGTTGTGCAAAAACTAAGTACACAACATTTAAAAAAATTAACTGATCTACAATATATAGATAAAGTTAAGATATTTTCGCCAATTTTTGTTATTGAATGTTGTGACCTATTATAGTATAGTCCAGATAGTTTATCATTTTTCCGCTAATGAGATAATATAATTTAAGAATAAGTTTGTTATCGGATCTATTAAAGATAAGGCGCATTTTTGTGACACGAGTACTAAAAAGCATAATTGGATAACGTGCAATTCGCCATATACGTTTACACCAAATCACGGAATAATTTATAAGTAACTATATTATACGCTACTACATAAATACATAAAACAATTATTCATGTTCGTCAGAATATAAATTACACCGTATCCGATGTACTCTTCTTCTTTTTCAATAGATTGGCAACAGAGATAAAAATCTTGGATAGAAAAGGCAAATCCCGGGACGAGCGTTAAAATGGATTATAAGATGAAGGAGAATATGAGCTACATGCAGATGTCTCAACCTAATTACTCGTACGTCTTGAACCTGGAAAAAAATTTTATTTATTGGGATACCGTGACGCCAATGAATGATCATTTGCCATACTGCCTCGTATATTGTGCTATCTACGTCATTCTAGTTTTTTCTGGGAAGTATTACCTATCAGATAAGCCAAAGTTCGACCTAAGACGTTGGCTTACTTTATGGAGTTTGATGCTTGCGACGTTCTCCATTCTTGGCTTTCTTCGAATGGGATCAGAGATGTTCCACACTTTAAGCAATTATGGGTTTTACTATAGCGTCTGTGTTCCAAAGTAATTTCACTTTAATACTTTATTCCTGAAAATATTTTCAGTATAAGAATAATATCCTATTACATATTATCGTACATATTTCCAGAATATTCATTCACAGCAGAAACGTAATTACTTGCTTTTCAGTTTCCTTACGCGAGACCCCGTTGCAGCCTTTTGGACGTTCTCGTTTACATTGTCGAAGGTAGTAGAACTCGGTGACACAGCCTTCATCGTGTTACGAAAGCAACCATTAATATTCCTACACTGGTATCACCATATAACTGTTCTTCTTTATACATGGTACTCTTATGGGGAAACTTCAGCGACTGGCAGATGGTTCACTACGATGAATCTCTTCGTTCACTCGTGGATGTACTCTTATTACGCTCTGAAAGCAATGGGATTCAGTCTACGAAAATGGATAGCCATAACAATCACTACGCTACAATTGTTGCAAATGGTTGTAGGTTGCGCTATAGTCTTTGCGGCTTACTACTACATGCAAATCAACGAATGTAACGTTACACTTTCCAACATCAAATTTTCGATGCTAATGTACTTCAGCTATTTCATTCTATTCGCTAGATTCTTCCAGCAGGCTTATCTATCTAACAAATCTAAAGACAAAGCTAAAAAGGCATATGCCAATAAAACATCAAGCAATGACAAGGTCAAGATAAAATGAAAGACCAAAGTTTTGGGAAACTTTTTAGTAGCCTTCAAAGGCTTTTTTGAAAACACAGAGATGCGATTTAAGAAATGTCACTTAGAAATACGTAGTTTTTACGAGTCTTTCTTAACTGAAAGACGTAAAAGATGTTTGTGATAAATGAAAATGCATAATATTAGTGATAAGTATTAGTTGCACATTTAATTTAGCAATTAATTTTATGATGACTAGTTTAGCAGGATCAGCGTTACATGTATTGTCAATGAATTAACAAGGATCTCCTTGAAATCCAAAAGCATCTTTTGACGAATTTTTATGAAGTTTCTGGCAAAAGAATTCGTGAGTATAGAAATATTTAGAAATGTAACATTTCAAAAATCAATAATTGTGAAAAATATCATCGACTTTTTATCAGAAAAGTTTCGAATTGTTACTTTTCTATAGCGAAGAATATTAATTATTATTAATACTTTACGAACTAAAGATAAATTTAAGATTTCAGTATTCTAAAATTTCATGAGCAAATCTGAGATAATGTACACGCTTGTTCGAATGAAAATTTCAAATGACGCATAAAGAATTCTCATTGTGTACCATTTTGTACAATCCAATTGCCGAATCGTGTTACAGAGAATTGTAAGAGTTTGCGTTTGTATTATATCTTTCGCAGTATATTGAGACAAGATATTTACGCCGGATGACTACTGCTTTTATCTTGCAATTTAAGGGAAAAGAGATCAATGGGCTAAACTATCAGATATTGCACATGTTCTTGCAGCACACTTGTTGAAAGATGCGAAGTTTGAGGATTGCCAACTCACAAGGGAATTTTGATTAATTTTCAAATGTCAATATCTAATAAACAAAATTCCAAACGTAATGATCTTTGTCCATCATTTTCGTCGTATTTTCGTTTGTAGAAGTACATATCACTTAAGTTTTAGGCTATTTTGATTTCGTTACTCGTTCTTTCTCGGTGGAATCGTGCATCCTAACCAATACTGAATATGTAACGCATGAAAATTTTTATAAATACATGAAATTTCATTAGCACTGTAATAAAACACAACTACCGTGATTACAATAGAAAAATTTGAAACCTATTGTAATATCGTAAAGTAATTTAAATTAGAGGTCGGTTGAAATTAGAAAAAACCGTGTGCGTCGTCCTTCTGTGGTTCGTTTACATTTAAGAGCGCCTATGTGACTGAAGTCACCTAGTTCTTACAGAGATGTGAGAAAAACATCAAAGGACGTTAGATCAGAAGGACGGTTTCGTGTTTCACGACCGAAAGGTTAGAGTGTCGAGTCGAAAAGTGTGTGTGTTGCGAGAGTCAGAGTTGTCGAGAGAATTGATCGAGTTGCGAGAGAGAGAGAGTGGGGAGAGAGAGAGAGAGACAGAATGTGTTAGATTCGTTGCGACGAGAGTGGCCAAATAACTGTAAAGTTATTTGATATAGATACGAGTATCGCATTTAGTTTCAGTTAAACAAACATCGTTCTGTCCAATTTATGTTTGTATATTTATTTCAATATTAATAAATTGTAAGTAATCGGGAAAAATTTATATCCTTAATTTTCACGATATTACACTATCCGAAAATGTATGTCAAATTTTGCAAGATATTCAAAGATTAAACATTATATCTTTCTTTTCTTTTTTTTTTTGTACGTGCAGAAATCCTCATGGACACTCCGCTGTTGCTAATAATCGGGTAACAGCAGAGTAGTATCGGACTCCTACCGACTAAAACCCCACGATGACCATCCTACGCGTATGATAGGAGTGCCCCAGGAATTATCTTCTGTTGCACCCCCTTTCCGCGTCCTCTTGTTCGAGCCAGTCCTGAAATTCTCCGTCTGTTTAATTTGGCATTAGGGGGAGGGGGACATTGCCCCTAGCGCTATCGCCCCCTCTAGTCGTGGTGCGTTGGGACGGCGATGAGGCGGCTCTATTACCATCCTCCTCCATCGTCTTATCCTACAAGGCTGAGAGTTTTTCTTTCTCTCCCTTATTCTGGAATAAGAGGCGGACGGCCTCGTATTCCTGTGGCCTCTCAACATCGCTTCTACAATCGCCGAGGGGGTCAGTCTTTCTCCTATGACGTGCCGCAGGTTGTAACGGGCAGCTCCCACGCCGGACAGAGCTCCAGCGTGTGCTGCGCTGTGTCCCTGCCCTCCGCGGGGTATCAGGATTCCCCGTCTGGAATGTTGAGAAAAACCCCGATACCCTAGTCCAGACTTTTACTATAGCTACACTTAAGTAATAAAAATAAGAAATAGTTTTAATGTTCCAATCTGGCTTTATGACGATGGGTTCGGGCTCGAAATGACATAGCGGGTCACTGGACGTAGCCACGGTCACGGGAGGGACGTGTACCTGACAGAGTTATGGAATGATTATATGGCTCTCCTTAAAAACAAAGATTGATCCGAGAGGTGGGGAGAGAAATATATAAGGACAGTTCCACTTGGACTGCAAGTTAATTCATTCAGATAAGTTTTACTTGTACGTTGAGTCATACGTGTATGACATCGCATTCGTCATCCCGTTGACCGTGGATTCGTTAACGAACCTGAGGCCATCGTCGCTAGCTTCGCGAGTGCCTAATCGCCGTGATTAACTGTCAAGATTGTAACAACCCCATTATTGCAATAAACTATATTTGTGTTGTACCGCATTAATGACTAATTCCCGCGAAGATACATCTGACGCCCAAAACCTTACTCCCAGTGTTAATCCGACATATATTTACATCTTTGAATATGTATATATATTTATATTGAATATGTATATGTATTGGTATATGTATTTGTATGTATGTATGTAATATGTTTTCTGTATTTTTTTGCGATAATTTATAAAACATATGTCAAGATGCATCCTCGGCTTGTCGGGACAAGTATCGCAATTATAAGTTTTCTGTTCCTGTTAAAATTACATGGAGCTTTCCATTTAACCGAATTTCATCACAATTAGCAGGCGACGTCGAAGCTCGATCTCACGGTTGTCGAATATCTCCTCGTATTCGACCGACGGCGGGCTAACTAGCAGGGAGGATGGAAGGAAAAGCCGTACCACGATAATGGTAATAGTCACCGACTTCTGTCTTAAATTTATTATTACTACGATTATATTGCATATGCTATTACTTTGCATCTAATTAATATCTAATAAATGTCATATAATATACATAGTTTTTTTTACTATTAAAAACCTTTGTAGGCTCTATAATTTTGCTTTTTCAATACAAAATTTAATAACATTGAAATGTTTCAATTATGAATAATATTTTGGACAAGATACTATTTACACATTATAGAGTGTTAACGATAACACAATATTTTAACGCATTAAAAAAATGTATAGTTTACTTCCCGATATACGCGACAAATATAAATTATTAAATATATAGGTACAGATACATAGGTACAGATAGATAAACAGATAGGTACAGATTTGATTTGGAAGTTATATTTTTGTTCAACTTTTTTGTTGGAGGTAATAATACATATTTAATAATGGTTCATAATTGATATTTATTTAAACAACATTTTTCTTTACCAAATACTTTAAATAATTGGTGAAAAACTTTGAAGAGTAGTTTATTTTAGCCACTTTACATTGTAATTGTATTCAGTTTACTTTACATTGAATAATCTCAATTTAGTTTATTCTTTTTATGTTCAACAATTTCATCGAAGGATGGCGTTAACTTCTCGATCGCAGCGTTCTCTAGTGTCTGTTTGTAAAAGCGACTTGTAAAGCACAATTCCCGAGATTGCTTTGTCAAGAGTTTTGTTGAAACCTAAACCTAAACCTAAACCTAAACCTAATCCTAACCCTAACCCTAACTCTTACCCTCCCCCTGGAATGTCCAACCTATATATTCGATCGTATTTCAGACCAACATAGACAAATTCATATTATTTACATAGAACTGCGCCCACTTATCCTCAATAGCATAGTCACCTTTTTCTCATAGCTTCAATCATACCTTTTTCTAGTTAAAATTGTACATTCTTTGGTGTAACCATACATAGCATCACGCACAAATGTCACTCGCGATTCTAATGCTCTGTAAATTATACACAATATATGTACAAGGAATATTAATCCAAGTGGCGTCTTATAATGGTCATTAGAGACATACGATTTCTACGAAAAAGAGTCATTGTCATATTTTTGAAAAAGAAAGAACAGAATGCAAATGTACATAGTACACACTGTGACAAGAACGAAAGAGCTGTACGCCTATCACATAGATTTATTCTTTGTGGAGAATATGAAATCTCAATAGCCTAAATATTTATTTTCTTATATTCGATAAAGGAATTTATAATATTATTTATCTTCTCATTTCACTCATTTCTTATGACAGTCACCGAAGGACGTATTAAGATGTGAAATTATAGACAAACGAGAATTAAATATATTGCCAGTTTCTCTATGGACGTTATTGCTTGTCTAAAATTTGTATTTCGTTTTTGTATAACATTTTCGATTTTTTTAAATAATATCTGAAATTGGGTCGTTGACATATTTATATATATATATATGTAGTGTATGAAATTCACCTTCGTTCTTTCTTAATCCCAGACTTCTATACACTCAGTATTTTCTCCTCTTTTTCTACTGTCTTCTTTCTCATCAAGTAACAATGCTATTATAGCCGTTTCTTTAATAGTAAATTTCGATACTTTTGTAATATGGGCAATAGTTGGAAATGTGATCTCGTATGTTACCGACGCATGGATAAGTCAACGTTGTTGTGCCGGTACTAACCTGTTACATGAGTTATAATTGTGAATATGTCGATGCCCGTCAGGCGTTGTACTGTTAAGTGGCTGACATTTAATTCTGCATTGTACCGACAGAACCGTATCCGCGTGTCTTGCAGATTTCGCCCGTAACATATACATATAGAAGTTAATATACAGTATAAATAATAGCCTTAAGCATATGGTTAGTGCTAAGGATGGACTGAATATTATAGCTTATTAATATGGTGAATAATTGACTGTCAAATACCTTCGTGGTTTTTACGAAGTGTACGTTTTCAATAAATATCTTGTAACTTCTACGTATGCAAACCGTTTGATAATTGCACGAAAATCGGGACCTAAGTGTTGCAATTATGGAGATGCAGAAACGATCCTATTCCTCAAAACTCAGATCTTAGACATACCGAATGTAGAAAAGAACGTAAACACGAGTAAGAAACGAAGAAAAATCGAGAGTCAACAAGCATTTAAGACTGGCAACAAGCTCGGATCTCAAAAATCAATATTTTCTATTTTTAATTTATGATTAATAAAACTTTTACCGATATGTTTGTTACATTTTTCTGACTAAAACGAGACCAAACACGATATAATTTTGAGTATGTTTGCTTACTTGATAAACAATAATTAAATACATATCAATAAGTAAATGTAACTCAAATTATATCATGTTTGGTCTCGTTTCAATCAGAAAGATCTTACAAATACGTCGGTAAAAGTTTACTTTAAAACATTAAAAAAGTTGTAAATAAGAAGCTTTCGCTTTTGAACTACTACCTAGATACATTGTCTTAGCGATGTCTGACACAGGATCATGTTACACTACTTGATCTCGAACATTCGCCTTATCGCGATAAGGACGACTGTGCAATTATGCAAAGGATCTTTTTTGTGTAGTTATCGAATGTTTCTACATTTTCAGATCCGTTTCAAAATTTACGTCGTGTCGTGTCTGTTACAGTACTAGTGAGATTTCAAAATATTTCGTATAATAAATGTTACGTCGGGCGACACTGTACCTAGACCAAGTCACACACCGCGGGCAAGATGGGAATCAGATGTCCGCTCATCCTTATTGCGTACACTCAATAGTCTTAAGGACCCATGGTAAATCTGAGGAATTTCCTAGCTAAGGTCCTTTAGACCGAACAAGTATCTTTTTTTCTAAATCATTTTCTAAAGGGTTCTCAACGCGAGAATTGATTGTAATTTTAACAAATAAAAAAAAAAAAAAAAGAAAACATAGTAAATCTCAGGAATTTGCTAGCTAAGGTCCTTCAGACCGAACAAGTATCTTTTTTTCTAAATCATTTTCTAAAGGGTTCTCAACGCGAGAATTGATTGTATTTTTAACAAATAAATAAAAAAAAAAACATAATATATCTCAGGAATTTGCTAGCTAAGGTCCTTCAGACCGAACAAGTATCTTTTTTTCTAAATCATTTTCTAAAGGGTTCTCAACGCGAGAATTGATTGTATTTTTAACAAATAAATAAAAAAAAAAACATAATATATCTCAGGAATTTGCTAGCTAAGGTCCTTCAGACCGAACAAGTATCTTTTTTTCTAAATCATTTTTTAAAGGGTTCTCAACGCGAGAATTGATTGTAATTTTAACAAATAAATAAAAAAAAAAGCATAGTAAATCTCAGGAATTTGCTAGTTAAGGTCCTTCAGACCGAACAAGTATCTTTTTTTCTAAATCATTTTTTAAAGGGTTCTCAACGCGAGAATTGATTGTAATTTTAACAAATAAATAAAAAAAAAAGCATAGTAAATCTCAGGAATTTGCTAGTTAAGGTCCTTCAGACCGAACAAGTATCTTTTTTTCTAAATCATTTTTTAAAGGGTTCTCAACGCGAGAATTGATTGTAATTTTAACAAATAAATAAAAAAAAAAGCATAGTAAATCTCAGGAATTTGCTAGTTAAGGTCCTTCAGACCGAACAAGTATCTTTTTTTCTAAATCATTTTCTAAAGGGTTCTCAACGCGAGAATTGATTGTAATTTTAACAAATAAATAAAAAAAAAAAAACATAGTATATCTCAGGAATTTCCTAGCTAAGGTCCTTCAGACCGAACAAGTATCTTTTTTTCTAAATCATTTTTTAAAGGGTTCTCAACGCGAGAATTGATTGTAATTTTAACAAATAAATAAAAAAAAAAGCATAGTAAATCTCAGGAATTTGCTAGTTAAGGTCCTTCAGACCGAACAAGTATCTTTTTTTCTAAATCATTTTCTAAAGGGTTCTCAACGCGAGAATTGATTGTAATTTTAACAAATAAAAAAAAAAAAAAAAGAAAACATAGTAAATCTCAGGAATTTGCTAGCTAAGGTCCTTCAGACCGAACAAGTATCTTTTTTTCTAAATCATTTTCTAAAGGGTTCTCAACGCGAGAATTGATTGTAATTTTAACAAATAAATAAAAAAAAAATTTTTCTAAAGATTATTGTCTACTACGGCTTGACACGGGAAAGTTAGTTTTTCTCACGTTCATGCTTCCCACTAGCAACCTTCTATGGAGGACGGCTAAGACCCTTCCTAGTCCACCAACCTTCTTTTATCCAATCAGAAGCAATGTTTACTGCCCTCACTTTCCTAACCAAAAGTGTCATCAACAAATCCGATGGTCCCGTGCGCTAGACACACCCATCATTAGCTTTCCTCCGATACAGCATCGTCACTGTACTTTACTTATTCTTCAACGTTAGAATAGTCAACATGTCAGTACCGGGTCAGTCTCCCTTATTGCTACGTCAACAAAGCACTCTAAGAGCCTGCTCGATTACCAACGAATATCGTGCCAGTGTATCGCATCTCTATAAACCAAATCATTGTCTACGACGTATATCACAAGCAACGGTGTAACTTAAGTGTTAAAAATATATAGTTTATAACCCTGTTAATCGCAGTGTTATACCCCCTCAACCACCCCTATTATCTCAACGGAAATCAAAGGATCGATCTATTCGCGGCGTCGATTATTATAATCGTAACGGAGATTTACTCCCGTTGACGTGTTTCTTCGCGATTAGTCGAAAATACAATAAAACTATTATAAATACAAACGTAAATATTGTATGCAGTATAAGTAACACGATTTTAAATAGCATTTCTGCAAAATCGTTTGTTCTATTGTTATGGTATTCCTATTCGACTTTCGTCCTGCTATTACCAGACAGATAGGCCTTGTAAAAGTACATAGCGAATAGAACGAAGTAACTGAAGTACATGACCAAACCGCAAGCGGCGTTGAAAGTCGTAGCGTGGCATTGTTTCTCGCCAATCTTTATATAATAGTAAGCCGCGCCAGTTACAAAGAAACCTACAACCATTTGCACTAGCTGCATCGTAGTAATCATCATGGCGATGAATCTTGGTGGTTTGATTTCCATTGCTTTAAGAGCATAGTAAGAGTACATCCAGGAATGGACAAAGTAATTCATCACGATATACCATCTGGATGTTCCCATGAGTAGCGCATAAGAGTACCATGTGAAATAGATAACCGTTATATGATGGTACCAATGTAGAAATATTAATGGCTGCTTTCGTAACACAATGAAGACAGTATCGCCAAGTTCTACGATCTTTGATAAGGCGAACAAGCTTGACCAGAAAGCACACACATTATCATGAGTATAGTAACTAAAAGCACACAATGCGAAACATTAGAATAATAAACATAAAATATTTTCAGAAAATTATTTCACCAATGAATAAACTTTTATAATGCGCGTATTGTTTCAAATACGAAATGAGAAATATGGTTACTTGTTCGTTGCGCGGAAATGAGATTAAAAGTGCAGGCAAGAATCGAGGTTTTTATAACGAATGCAGTTTCCAATTAACGACGTCATATAAGCTTAAAAGATAACGATGTCGTTAGAACTCGCTCGCGTTTGAGATATCAAAAAACGTTTTTAACAGAGACATTTGATGATTCGAGAGTGCAACGAGCGAGTAACAACAGTTTAATTAACGATTGACTTTCAATGTACGATTCGTTCGAAAACATTTCAATACTTCGACATAGAAATTACCTGTTCGAACAAATACTATAGTAAAATCCGTGATTGTATAATATGTGAAACAATTCTGGCATTGTTCTTATAGTCCCTATAATGGAGAATATCGCAAGTAATCCGCTCCATAATGCGAGTGCATTTCTCAGATCAAACTTTGGTCTATTTGACATATAAAGCTTCCCTGTGAAAATGACGACTAAATAAATAGCAGTATAGTAAAAGCACTTCCACCAATAATTCCTCATCCATATCAGAACGTTCCAGATAAAGTCAGTTGTTTCAAAGTCAAAGATTATCCAGTGCTCGGGACCAGTGACATTCATGAAATAATTCACTTCGTCCATTTTGTAATATTTTTTACACTCGTTCACTTTAACAAAATTAAGAGAGAATACTGTCGGTTGTCTGAAAAGAAAAACAAACGGTTAAGATTTTTTCCTAAATTCGAAGAATTGCAGACTTAGCAGAACAAATTTATTAAGACAAAACACTATATCCAATTAATTTCTCAGGGATAACTTTGGACTTTTCTAAATTTTTTTTTTCTTTTTATTATTTAATTTGTACTTTACAATTTCTCCAACTGGACATTTGGTAAATTTTTCTAACTTAATTGCTATTTTTTTTTTTTCTTCTAAATGTAACAAATAGTATGTTGAGATTTTTGTTCTGAATAATCAGAGGTTCCATTCATCAAAATCAAAGATTAGAACAGATTAATTCCTTATAAAAAGTTAATAAGGTATCTATATCGAAAAATTATTAGTATTAAAGAAACAACATTTTGGAAAGCTAAGGAACGTAGATAGATTAAATTTTGGGCTTCTGCCAAATATTAAGAGTCAAACACACGTAGACTATCACGGTAGGAAATTCCTCATTGTTATAATATTATTCTAATAATTTTAATACAAATTTAACTATTCTAATAATATTAATACCAAATGTCCAAATCGGACAAATTGTGAATGTAAACAACTGAATAAAAAAAAAATTATAATATTAATTATTTATATTAAAGGTATTATCAGTTATAGTATTACATATAATACTATATTATTAAATATTATATATCTTATATAATAGATTCATATAATACTGCTATTTTATATTATATAATATAAATTAAAATTATATAATACCATCTATGCCGGTTATATTTGTAGAAAAGGTGGCTCAAAATTTTTGTAACATATATTAAAATCAGCTTGAAAAATTTACCGAATGTCCAGGACAAATTGTAAAGTACAAATTAAATAATAATAAAAAAAATATATTAAAATCGTCGAAATCGGAGAGGGGGTAACTTTCCTGCAGTTTTATCCTTATTTTATTTTTATTCGACATTTGAAGGAAGATGCTTAAAATATAAAGTTAAAGAA